TCTTCTATTTCAACCACACATTTCCAATCATATCACTATTCAAAAATCAATTCTTCCCCCAAAAATCCCTACCAAACACACTCTTAAACTACCGAAAAGGAATTCAACATGGATATATTTGGAGTTGACAAGACGAAACAAAAGTAACATTCGTCCATCTACACGATATCCTTGAATTTTACGAGTAAAATGATTACTTGTTTCCATAAGACACTGTTTAAAATAATTACATTGGGCATTAGTCTTCTAATAACACGAGAAAATTTGACATTTTATATAAATTTTCCACAACTGTAGATTGCGCTTGGTGGAGATATTCTGACAAATTTTACCTCCAAACACAGTTTTGCACTTCCATGCACACTACAGATTCAGTTTTAATATAATAAAAATTCCGGTATGGAAGAATTGTTATGGTATGTTGACTATATAAAATTTCACCATCTGCTTGTTACAGAACAAAATGCTGGGCAATATGCAAAAGAAGTGAAGATTACTTAAGTTGTTCTTAGTGGAGATATTCTGCCAAATTTTATCTCCAAACACAGTTTTGCCCTTCCCTGCACACTGCAGATTCAGTTTTAATATAATAAGAAATCCGGTGTGGGAGAATTGTAATTGTATCTTGACTATATGAAATTTTACCATCATTTAAGGTGCTTGTTACTGAACAAAATGCTGGGCAATATGCAAAAGAAGTGAAGATTACTTCAGTTGTGCTTAGCGGAGATATTCTGCCAAATTTTTCCTCCAAACACAGTTTTGCCCTTCAGTGCACACTGCAGATTCAGTTTTAATATATATATAAGAATTCCGCTGTGGGAGAATTTTAATTGTGTATCTAAGAGGAGGAATGCGAAAATGCTGCTTTGGCTCTTGCATCATACTTCTGTAGCAAATAGAATTATTTAGAGAACTTGATAGAAACACTCAACACGTGCACATGCTTGCGAATTAGTGCAAATTCACAAAATATTCATACCATATGTCGATTTTTGATTAATCATTAATCTTACTAATGTTAAATAATGTAATTCTAATATCAAACCGTATGATTCACTTTCAATTCAATATTATGTGTACATCAATGTTTATGCCCGTATTTTTAGGTTTATGCATCAAAGTATATGTTTATGATGTGGGTAACTTGAGAGGTGGTTTCTTGATCCATAAATGCAAACGCATTCTCAAACATAAAGATAAAAGAATTATTTATTTTATTGGCACTGAACTTTGTGCATCAACTACAGTTCTTTTTTTTTTTTTTTTTTCTTTTTTCATATTTACGTAGTGATTATTGATGAAAGATATTGCTATATCTTTGTAAACGGTATTAAAAGTTATGGATTCAAGTGCAATATTATTTTATTTAGAAAATGCGAGGACGCAAATAAGTTTGAAAAAAAAATTAAGCTTATCAAACAAGGATTAACTATAAATCACGATACATAGATTGGTCTATATGCGATGTATTTTTTACCTTAATAAAGCCCCTTCTTTGTAAAAGTTGGAGGATCAACTATCTCCTTTTAAAATGTTAGAAGATCAACTTGCTCCTTTTGAAATGTTGGATGACTAATTTACTCATATTGAGATATCGGGGGACGAGCGTGCACTTTTTCAATTGCTAGAAAGGTTGGAGGACAAACTATTTGAATTGTTAGGGAACAACTTGTTCCTCAGCAAAGGTTAGGACCAAACTTGTTCGTTGAAAATTTCGGAGGACGAAGTTCTAGCATTTGAATTCTTGGAGGAAAAACTTGCTCGTTTAAAATGTTTGAAGGCCAACTTGATTGTTTTGAAAATTTGGAGGACCCAGTTTCAACTTCTGAATTATTAAGGACAAACTTGTATCTTTTTAATTAATTGAGGACCAACGTGCATGTCATGAAAAGGTGGAGGATCAATTTGATTCATTTGAAAAGATAGATGAGAACGTTGCAAACGTTGGAGAACCAACTTCTTGGTTTTGAAATGTTGGGAGTACCCATTTGCTCCTATTGACAAACTTGATCAGAGGTTTAAATGCTAACACTTTAATAGGGATATGTGGATGGCTTTTCTGGGAAAAAAGATTGCTCATCGGGTTGGTTCTGTTAATTTTCCGGCGACACAGAGACGCCAGAAAATTGGTATTTTATTGGTTTATTTAGGATTACAATTATTGAATGTAGATGGGAAAAAGAATTTTCTTTGTCTTTTTCTTTTTCTTTGAAGTCGTTAATGAGTAAAAACGAGAAACCTTTCAGGATCGTTTTACAGAAACGAGTATTACCACCAATCATAAAAAAGTTAAAACGAGAAAATCTTTGTAGGTATTAAACTCATCGACAAGATTGCAATTTAATAAACAACATTTTATGAACTCTTGTTGCTGGCGTTCAATGTTTATATTCACTTGTATTCAAACACATTGTCGGATTTTGAAAATAGAGATATTCAAGTTGAATACTCGTAAGATAAGAGTAATTGGAAAGGCATAAAGTAAAAATTGGTTATGGAAGTGCTTGTTTAATAGTATTTTTAAGTTCTTAAGTCGTGTGTCCTATTTTGAAATCCATGTAAAATCATTAGTTTAAATTAGTACGAGAAGGGTGTGACATTCTCATTCTATTTTGAAGCATTTGGACAATATTTGTCAATATTTTGAATGAAAACTGGTCGTTTAAAAACCTGCAAGTGTATGCGAATGTGGTCGAGTAATAAAATAGTGAATAGAGTGTCGAACCCACAAGTACTACTTGTTTGATTGAGTTAAAATCAATTCCAACTTTAATCGAATAACAAACAAATTTTGTGATTTTTTTATACTAATTCCGAAATTATCGATTAAACTAATGAAAATAAGCTAATGTGTTTTTCAAATATGTGAGATGCATTGCTAAGACGTTGAATGGCCCTTGTTATTTCATTTTTAGTGTAACTATTAAAGTCAC